ATAAATGTATGTTTTTATTTTCATTGGAAACACAATGAACTTCTAATATAATGATGTAAACTTAGATACAAAAATTTGGCATCTTACAAAAGTGTTAAAAATGTTGTACGGAGAGTGCTATAAATGGAATTCTTAATATTTTTCTATCTTGTGATAAAAACCGTGAAAGCTAAACTTTTAAAAAGGAATAATATTTCCTTAATCTTTTCTTACCAGGTGGAATCGTCACACATTTCTCATTATGGTATGCACTGCAAACTATTCTCAAATGTGTTAAATATTTCGACTTTATAATGTTTAAAATGACTTACATGCAATAAGAGCAGCGATTAAAATTATCTTCAAAAATATTTTCATTATGGCAAAGAGAAATTAAGAATACTCTTCAATGCTGTATGAGTTAATGATAATGATAGCTTTAAAAAAATTGCAATTTATACACGTCTTACCAAAAAAAAATATTTAAAACTCCCCCCACCGCTAAGATATTGTTTTTGGATGGTATCACAATCTGCGTCGACAATGAATCGAGATGCAAATTTAATACATGCAAATACATTTCCAGTCCAATGTTTTCTCATATGAAAGTCAAAAAAGTTATCCAAACAAAAATTGTTTTTATACTTACTGATGAACAAGTGTTTAAGAATCAATATTAAAAAATTAAATAAACACATTAATCGACTTCGATTGAGTTTATCGATCGCACGAAAACTGTCCTTGAAACTTTTTCATTTCTGAATCAATAATCAATTTATTCACATATTTCATATTTTTAAATAATATAGATAATATTCAGTGATGAATTTAAGATCCTGCTGACATCTGAAGTAAAAATTATGTTAACTTGTATTAATGTTAAGAATATTTCATTACTAAAATTGAATTTAGTTTGACTTTCTTCTAGAATGTTGAAATGTTTTTTGAATTTTTCTGTGAAAAATAAGATGTTTATCAACTATAAGTTCAGATAAAAAAATCATCAAGCTACGCCAATATTATTTCTAATGCAGCAACATAAATTACCCTCAAAGCGTACCAAAATTAAAGTAGCTCCCCAGATAA